ATTATCTAGATGTCTTTCAACATGATAATATTATAAATATATCTTCTTTACAAGACTCAGGAGTGAATCACAGTATCAAGTTAGAAAAGAAGAATGATAAGAACTCTGAGTCACTGTGAGACTCTCTTTATAATATGTCTTAAGATGAACTTCTTCTTCTTCAGAAGACTCTCAATAATCTGTTAGATAAGAAATTTATATATATTAGCAACTCTTTCACTGCAGCTTCTATTCTCTTTGTAAAGAAGTCAGATAAAGAACTCTGATTCTGTGTGAACTACTGAGATCTGAACAGATTGACAAAGAAAGATCAATATTTCTTATCTCTCATCAATGAAACTCTAGCACAGATTGAGTAAGCTCAATGATTTACAAAGCTAGATGTTATCACTGTGTTTCATAAGATTTGTATCACTGAAGAAGATGAATAACTTACAGCATTCTGAACATATTATGATCTCTTTGAATAAATAGTCACACTCTTTGAACTGGCTAACACTCTTAGTACATTTCAGAAGTATATCAACTAAGTACTCTGAGATTTTCTTGATAAGTTTGTATCTACTTATCTAGATAATATTCTCATCTTCACTGATGAATTCAGAAAAGAATATCAAGAGTATGTATGAAAAGTATTACAATGACTACAAGAAGCAGAACTATTAATTGATATTAACAAGTATAATTTCAAAGTTAAGAGCACTAAATACTTAGATTTCATCATAGAAGCTGGTAAGAAAATTCAAATGAATTCTGAGAAGATCTCTGTCATTCTTGAATGAGAAGCTTCACATACTATGAAAGATATATGAAGCTTCATTGAATTTGTTAACTTCTATCAGTGATTTATATGAAACTTCTCAGATATTGCAAGATCACTTACAGATCTCACTAAGAAACACTCAGTATTTCAATAATCAGTAGATACTGAAGCTGTATTTACACAGATAAAGAAGATATTCATTAATATCTCTCTGCTGATAACATTCAATTCTGATTATAAGATAGTTATTGAGGCTGATTTCTCTGACTATATAATAGAAGAAGTAATATTGTAATATGATAATAAAGATGTTCTATAATTATATATCTTCATATCTAAGAAACTGATTTCTGCTGAATGCAATTATAAGATCTATGATAAGAAACTTCTTGTAATTATATACTGTTTAGAAGAATGAAACTCTGAACTCTGAAGTATCTCTGAATTTAAGATAATTACAGATTATAAAAATCTCAAATACTTTATAACTATCTGTAAACTCACTGAATGATAGATATGATAATCTGAGTTCTTAAGTTACTTTCATTTTATAATACACTATCATTCTGGCAGTCAGAACTCAATGACAGATGCTCTCTTATAATGAGAGTAAGATATATCATCTGATATAACAGATACTCACTGAATGAACTGAGAGCATCAGCTCTTGAACTCAAAGATACTAGTTAATCAAGATGAAACAGCTTATGACACTATATATACTTCTCTGATTAGAACTATACATGCTTCTTCAGTTAGAACTGTTACTGATATCTCAACTTCTTCTGAATCTACATTAGATGAGCTATAATATATAACAGCTTAAATGAATGAACTTCTCTGAGCACTCACTGAAGAAGTATAATAAGAAGCACTCTGATTTCTCTCAGAACTATATATAAGAACTGACATCTTAGAATATTCAATCAATAATAATAACACTCTATAATTTTATAAATGACACTGAGTCTCTCACTCTGAATTCTTATACATCTGAATAATGCAAGAGATGCATGATTCATATATAACTGATTATTCAGACTATGAACAACTGTATAGAATGATCTTCTGAGAGTTCTATTAATCTAAGATATTAAACAGTATCAGATACTTTGTCTGAAACTGCAATTACTATTATTTCATTATCTTATGAAAGAACTGTAGAAAAGATTTACTGAAATCACTTGATATCTCTGATAGAATCTGATGAGATGTAGTAATTAACTTCACTATTAATCTATCTAAGAGTAAAAGTTGTAGAAATATTCTGATTATCATTGATTAACTAAGTAAGAATGTAATATTGAACTCTTATAATAAGATAAATACTGAATAAGTCACTGAAGTCTTCTTACAGAGTTCATTCTATTGAATGCATGAGTTACTAAGATTAATAGTATTGAATTAAGACTGCTAATTTATAAGTACTCTCTGAATAAGAATCTATCAAGTTCTCAAGATTATATATTATCTGTTAACTGTCTATCACTCTGAGACTGATAATGCATCAGAATAGATAATTCAGACTGTAAAGAATTATCTTTATAAGTTCTGTAATTATTTATAAGATAATTGATATAATCTTCTTCTACATACAGAGATCACTATTAACAGTTGAGATGCTGTTTCAACAGATATAAGTCTGTTCTTTCTTATATATAAATATCATATAAAAGTATTAAATCTTCTAGAGATTACACAGTTCACACTGAATCTCTGTAGTCTGATTCAAATTATTAATAATATAGTAATAAAGCTCTGAGATATCTATAACTGAGCAGAGGTCTTTATAATAACTATGAAACAAGATTAAGAAGATTAAATCAATATTTAATAAGATTCTGCAGAGTAGTATAAGATAGAAGATCTTGTATAATTGAATCTCAAGAATATATAAATCACACATTCATCTTGTACATTAAATTACTGTCATATCAGATATAAAGTAATAGAAGTTCTAGATAGTCACAACTACTGTCTTAATACATCATCAGAAATTCATAATATCTTTTATACAAGCTTACTCTGCTATATTATTACTGATCTGTTCTCTTCTCAACTGACTTCTGACTGACAGCTGCCAGGCATCATAGAAGAAGATAATGAGCTTGAGTGAGAGATTGAGAATATTCTTGATAAGAGATTCTACAGCTGTAACTGACAATATTTTATGAAATGAGTCAGCTATAATCAACTGATCTGAACTCTGAGTTCTGTGTTATCTGAAACAGTAGTTCTTGACTGATAAAAACTGCTTCTGAAAGAGAGAGACTAATGTAACAGGCTGTGCCTGATCAATTATATAGACTATTTCATTACACTTCACAGATTTCAACTGCTTCATTCTTGAATACATATACTTCAATTCTCAGCCATTCTTGATCACCGATCCTCGGCCACTACATACATGTATAAATATTCACTTTGATCACTGATTCTCGCACTTTCTCTTTTCTTTCCTTCTCTAATGTTTTTCTCTTTATTATATAAGATCTATATATTATACTGATCTATTCAGTGTAGACCTTTTACAAGCACTTTTTGAATAAGAATCTATCAAGTTCTCAAGATTATATACTATCTATTAACTGTCTGTCATCTCAAGACTGATGATGCATCAGAATAGATAATTCAGACTAAAAAATTATCTTTATAAGTTCTATAATTACTTATAAGATGATTGATATAATCTGCTTCTACATACAGAGATCACTATCAATAAATAAGATACTATTTCAACAGATATAAGCCTGTTCTTTCTTACACACAGTTATTATATGAAAGTGTTAAATCTCTTAAAGATTACACAGTTCATACTAAACTTCTACAGTCTGATTCAGATCACTGATAATATAGTAATAAAGCTCTGAGATGTTCACAACTGAGCAGAGATCTTCATAACAACTATGAAATAAGATTAAGAGAATTAAATCAATATTCACTGAGATCTCACTAAACAATATAAGATAGAAGACTTAGTGTGATTGAATCTTAAGAATATACAGATCATATATTCATCTTATACACTGAATTATCATTATATCAAGTATAAAGTAATAGAAGTTCTAAGTAGTCATAACTATTATCTTAACACATTATCAGAGATTTATAATATCTTTCACATAAGCTTACTTTATTACACTGTCACTGATCTGTTCTCTTCTCAACTGACTTCTGACTAACAGTTATCAGATATTATAGAAGAAGATAATGAGCTTGAGTAAGAGATTAAGAATATTCTCAATAAGAGACTCTACAGCTGTAGCTGATAATATCTTATAAAATGAATTAGCTATAATTAACTGATCTGAACTCTGAGTTCTGTGTTATTCAAAACAGCAGTTCTTAATCAATGAGAACTGCTTCTGAAAGAGAGAGACTAATGTAGCAGACTATATCTGATCAATTATATAGACTATTCTGTTACACTTCACAGATTTCAAGTGCTTCATTCTTAAATATATACACTCTGATTCTCAGTCATTCTCAATTGCTGATTCTCAGCTGCTATAAATGCATATGCTCTGATTCTCAGTCATTCTTAATTATCAATTCTCAGCTATTATAAACACATATAGATTCTTTCACTCTGACGCTTCACTGCATACATTATTACATATACATATAAATATTCACTTCAATCACTGATTCTCACACTTTCTCTTTCTCTTCCTTCTCTAATGTTTTTCTCTTTGTTATATAAGACCTATCAATATCACATCAATCTATTCAGCGTAGGCCTCTTACAGTAAAGTATATATTCACAGAGATCTCAAAGAGATCTATAAGAAGATTAACAGTGAGCTTAAAACACTGTAGAAACTCTATACAATCTTCTGAAAGTAGTAATAAGTATCACACACAGATCTCTCTGATGAAATCAAAAGATATTTCTTCTCTGACATCTTCTACACTGCAATCTGATTCAATTATTTTAAAATCACAAGTTTCATGTTCTGAGTGAATTATTAGGCCAAGCAATCATTCTCTGAATTAATCATATATATTTATATGGTGTATTCTGCATATAGTTTTAATCTTTAATAAATAATATTAATATCTTATTGTATTGTTGTGCTATGGTTGAAAATTAACAGCTCTATAGAGTGCTTTTTGGAGTTTGTTGGATGGATGAGTTCGTTGGGTGGTGAGTCACGTTACTGATACTACCAGTCTTTTGGCGCCGCCGCCCTAGCCAGTTAGCCGTATTGAAACCGCGACAGTAACTATAACTAACTTGGCATGTCTGACTCGCCGCCTTGCCTGACCTGGCAGTTTCTTGAGGTCGCGGGCGCGCGGGGAGCGGGAGGTGCTTGGGGGCGGAATTCGCGTGCAAAGGCCTGGCAGAAAAGGAACTGAGGAGAGTATACTACTCCGCACAGAGTACTCTGTACGCCATTCGTTGTTGACCCAGCAGAAAGAATTATGGCAGGATAGTATAGCCCTATGCTAAAAGCTATAGAGAATAGTATGTACATGTATGTACATTCGGATTTTTTGCCCTTCCCAGCATCGCTTCGATCGGTGTATTAACTATTAGATATTTATATAATTTTCAAATCCAAATACAAATCCAAGCACCATGCACACTTTTCAATCCTCGACTCGTGGCGTTGACGTAGGCTGCTACTATCACGCATCCCCCAGCGCTATCCATTACTTGCATGCCAAAGATCTCCGGGATGGGCTGCTACTAGACAGCCCTGTCATTATTATTTGCCGTCTTCCATTCACCCCGGTAGGGTCACCAAGATTGCCTGATTGGGACCGGCAGCGCAAACATGAAGTAGAAACTACATGTTATTACTCTAAATTGGGAGATTCTCCTCTGTGGAGGGGGGGGAGAAGAAGCATAACTTTAAGAAGAAAGAGGAACGAAAAATAAAAGCAAGAAAAATGTGGGGCGTAGGAAAAAGAAAGTAAAAACATTATTTCGAGCGCAATCGATAACTAGTTAGCTAACGTAGCCGCCGCAGCACACAGATAAACCTCCCCCGGGTGTGGTTTGTGGGTAGTGGGAGTGTAACTCCGTAGGCGTATTTTATTTACTAATAATGCGCAGCCAAAGCCGGCGCGTCATTCTCGCGGCAAACGTCCCTCCCTCCATAACTAACTACATACCATACACCAACCAACCAACCAACCACCACCATCACCACCAACGACGACCACGACCTCACCTAAACAAATCCCGCCTTCACGTCAACCCGGCCGTATCCCAAAAAGATACAATTGACTCCCACCCACCACAAGTCGCAGAGGCCACTTGTGCATACTATTTTTTGCGAAGTTTTTATTTACCACCCTGGAACCAAGGTTCCGCCTGGAGAATTTGCTTCGGGTCGCGGAAAAAACTTAAGGCTCCGATTTTTTTTTTTCTTTTTTTGGTTTCGCCTTACCCTGAAACTCTCTGCCAGAGCGCAAACTGGTGGCAACAAAAAACAAACTTCCCGGATTTCAAAGAGCGCAGAAGGGGAAAAAAAACAACAATTTTTTTATTAATGTATATCATCTTGTTGCATTTCCTTCCTTCTATCCTCTTTCAAATTTATTTGCCTTCCCCGGTAAACCGTTAGCAACCCAACGCGAAAAGAAGAACTCCCCTCAGTATATCGACAACAAGAACATCAACAAATCATCCTCGGACTTGTCGCGAAACACATACCCGAATTTGTCAAAACCCGCTTTCGAATTCCCCCGTTTCACTAACCGTTTTCGGTCTCGAAACTGATAAAGCTCCAGTCGCTGATAACGCGGCGCGCGCACATTCATTGACTGCGCAGTGTATACCTCCTCTTAGCGACATCAACTAGACTGAAAGGGGGCAAACAGCCCTCTTGATATCCAACTGCTGAGAACGAAATATGCCATCATCAACTAACCGCCGAACCCGGCGCAAAGACGTTGGATTGCAAGAGACTCCGGAAACAGATCAAGTGGATTCCTCTCCCACTCGTCGTACTACTAAGAAGCGCAAGGTATTATCTTCCTTGTTCTGAGCGTGGCTCGGGTTTTGTTTCATTATTCTCTGTCGCTGGTAGTTTATTTATATACGGACTATTATCGCTGATTCGGACTCTTTTGTGACTATGTTTAGATTGACCACTCCCGTTCGCTTCCCTTGCCGTTAGAGAAGACTCCGGAGCCCGTTTCTGCTGATGAAGCGGATGACTCCGGTACAGAAAATGATCTTGTAACCACCAAGGACCTGGTGGATTCCGTGATAGCCTGCCTTGATGTCTCGGATGACCCCGTGGTTGTCATGGATGAGTACTCGAATATCAAAAATGAACGTGAAAACCCAGAGAGCGTGAAGGCCTATGCTAAGATTGCGGGTCGTGACTGGACTTACTACATGCAAGGTGTACATATCAACATCGGTCGCCCTCCAGACCGGGATCAGAGGGTCGATGCCCAGTCAAGCCCCGTCGCCGTTGCAGCCCAGGCGATGCCGGAAGTACATATCGATCTGGGCCCCAGCAAATTTGTCTCCAGATTACATGCGGAGATTTTGTACAGAAGTCAGGATCCTATTGGCTGGCATATTCGCGTCAACGGGCGCAATGGTATTCGATTGAATACCCAGATAATAAAGCGAGGAGGGATCTCAAAGATTACTTCTGGTGATGTTATCGAGATTGCAGGCACGCAGATGATGTTTGTAACCCCGGACGGTCGGGCTGTCATCCATCCTTTCTTCGTGGATAAGTGCCAGCGCTTGGCTGGTGGCGATGACGCTGCTAGCTGGGACGAGTCGCAGCATGCACACCCAGCGCTTTCCCGCAACAGGACCGGCCGGACGGTGCCTCATATCGACCAAAAGCATCATGACATTCCAAGTGCCGGAAATGGTCCCGAGCCAGCGCCAGCGGTTAAGAAGGCTCCATTTTATCCCAAGAATCGGCAAGTTACCACGCCACCTCGTCAGCGATCTTCAAACACAGATGATGCACTCCCGGCCAAACCATCACCGTCCCCGCTCTACAATCGCGGTATGATGATAGAGAGCACAGAAGATATTGATTATAGCGATGAATCGGCAAAGGATCTGAAGCCCCCCTACAGCTATGCTACGCTGATTTCACAGGCTATTTTCTCGACGGAAGAGGAGAAGTTAACTCTGAGCAAAATTTATGCGTATATTACTGAGAATTATGCTTTTTACCGCCATACAAAATCAGGATGGCAGGTTCGTTCAACCCCCTTTGTTCTCATAGTCAATAAAAGGGTAATATTTTTTTTTTTTTTTTTGAGTACCCTGTTACTAACAGTAGTTCATAGAACTCGATTCGCCATAATCTTTCTTTGAATAAAGCATTTCAAAAAGTGCCCCGCCGCACTGACGAGCCGGGCAAGGGCATGAAATGGCAAATTGTTCCCGAATTCCGACAGGAATACTTCAACAAACAAAACCGCAAGAGTAACCAGTCATCTGCCCCCTCCTCACCCGTCACCAAGGAAGGTAAAGGTAGCTTCCGCCCCGCAAATGGCCAGAAGGGCTACGATAAGAGTCTCGAAAGCTCGTTCCGAACAAGCAATCCGTCACCACAAACGACTTCGCCCGGGTTTAACTCGTTCTCCGTTGCACCTGTGGAAGCTTATACCCCGGAACGCGGTCCCCGAGTCAGCCGTAGAGCCAATGGGCATAACAATGCAGACTACGGCGAACAACACTCCCCTCTACCCACCCGTCCACGGAGTAACAATCCCAACCGCACATACGGCCTGTCAGATAACATCAGCGGCTCACCGCCCGTCTTGTCATCTTCATTCTTCGACGACGCCACGTCCATGATCACGCCTGCTCCGCGTCGGCACCAACCCCTCCTCGCCCCCCCCAGCACAGCGCAGATCCCGTCGAAATTCATGCCGATGAGCTCACCAGCGCAGTTCTGGAAGTTCGCGGAGATAGGGAATACGCCGGGGCGAGTGGCTGATATGAGTCCGTTGAATGGCGGCGGCTATAACTTTAGAGCTGGCGGTGGCATGGGTGCGGGCGGTGCGGGAGGATCTGGTGATGGGCTGTCTGCCATCCCTAGCAGTAGCCCGCCGCCGCCAAATTTAGGAAGCCCGAGTAAACCGAGTAGTGGGCCTGGGTTGGGTCGGCCGCTTGATTCGAGAGTTGCGGGTGGTGCGTCGAATGGTGTTGTTGGTCTTGTGCCTCGACATAATTCTGGCGGTGACAATCCCGATGAGGATGAGGATGGAGATGAAATTGGGGAGTTTGATCTTGCTCGGTAAGGTTTTTTTCTTTTTCTCTCTTTTCCTTAATTTTCTTTGCTTTGTATTTTTTCAATAACTAACCCGGAATCTTTTTGGTGTAGGGGTTTCCAACCGATTGGCAGTTACCATCAGCAAATAAGCGCAACAAGAGCCAGCGCAAGCGCGTCGACTTCTTAGAAACCAGAAAGAAAAAATTCAGCTGGCTATTAGAAAGAGTACGTGTGGGCTTAGAAGGGGGAAAAATAAACAATAAAATACCAAAAATACAAAAGAAAAAACCGCTCATCATAAAGTGATCTGATCGAGCAACAAGAAAAAAGAACAAGAGATATAAGAAAGACGATTTGCAAGGCTAGAAATCACAAAGAGAGCCATAAGAAAGATCAAAGATGCGAAAAGTTTTTCCTCCCGAGTTCCGCTTCAGCTCTTGTTTTTCTGCGTTCGCAGTCGAACGCCCGCCTCCCTCTCCCTCTCCCTCTCCCTCTCTCGCGGACGACCAGTCGAATATCACACGATCTCCCATGATCTCTTCCGTCACACCGTCCATCGCACCTTGCATATGCTCTGTTTACGTACGACCCTATCTGTTATTATTATTATTATTGTTATTATTAACTTTTACTTTTTATATCTGTTCTGTTCCCTGTATCAATATCAACACAATGGCTGCATTTGTTTTAGTTCTTTTGGCCTTGTTTCTTCTTCTTTTTGTTTTCAATGTTTCCTATGACCTACGAGGGAGATTCGGGGTTTTTTTTTTTGGAGTGTTTTTTTCTACTTATTACTTACTTCGCCTTTTCAATTTTTCCCATTCTTTTCTTTCCATTTTCGTCAGAGAGGTAAGCTCTTTTAACTCTCAAAAGAGCTTTAAAAGCATGCATGATTGGTCTCTATTGTCATACTTTGTTTTAATTCTTATTTTTATTTTCAATTTATTTTTATTATTATTTATTTCCCTGATTTCTTTAACCTGCATGAGGCTTTCTGTGAGTGAAGTAATTGATTATTATTATTATTATCTCTCTCTCTCTTTATTATAGAAAAATCAACTTTTTCATGTAAAAAATGCTGTAACATGATTTTATATATATTTTGTCAAATTTGCTTCTTCAAACACAGCTCTGCTCTGCTCTGGTAGCTAAATAATGTGGCTATCTAGTAGCACCTTGGCTTAAATCAATAGCGTGTAAGTTTAAAACTCATAGAGAATACATTAAATCTGAAACTCAAGCATCTTAGATTTCTAATAAATAAGAAGATATACAAATTGCTATAATGAATCACTCTATGTTTCTGAGTTGAAAAGTTATTATTATGTGTATCTAGTTGTCACTTCTTTGTATTTTCTATATTTTAGATATCTTGATGTGGTTCGGAAGAATGTACGACCGCCGGATAATAACGCGGCCGCTTCCGAACACGCTTACGAATGTAAAAGGGGCCCTAGTGTTGGTGATTACTACACCTACCCTAGTCACGTGCCACCTCAACCTATTTAGTGTAACTCGCGTAGTTAGATTACAACACAATAACATTATTCTTCAAGAGATTATGAAGTTCTTATTAAGCTAATGAAAACTGCTGAAATAATATGTTAACTATATCTTTATGTATCATTACACATGTCTAGATGTTTTTTATAAGTAATTGAACTCATGATTAATCTAAGATCTGAGAGAATGCCTGACTTAATAAAAGAATATATATCTTCAAGATGAAGAAATGAGAAGACATTAGAACAGCAGATACAAGATCACAGATCATTATCAATGTTAATAATAAACTGAAAAGTGACTGTCTCTGAGATATTTGAGCTGAATGAAATCATCACAGAGAAACAGTCTGATAAGTTTAATAATAAATATAAAGACTCAGTTGAAGATATCAGTAAGATATTAGATAATATAGAGAGCTTAAGTGACTGAAATGATAATAGCTCTGTGAGTGAGAAGACTTATATAAGACTAGAAATTACAAGACTTCAGTATGAAGTTGAGTGAATGAAGACAGATAGAAATAAAAATGAAGAGCTTAGTATAGATTTAATAAACTATCTTTAATAAAAGAGTAGAATATCTATATTAATAAAGATTCTTAATGAATTCAGAGATTAAGTAAGATTTATAAAGAAGTCTATTATACTCACTGACTCTGTAAATTATTCTATATGAAAAGAAGAGATTCTGCTTGCAGTAAGATAATCTGAAATAAATGATATTCTTAATAATAAGTAGATTAATTCTGATGAGAATATCAGTATAAATATACAATATTTTTAATTAAAATGAAATATCTGACTATATAACTATATATAATCTGTGATCATCTCACAGATCAAATCTCACTTTATTATATTTAAGAAGTCTCAACTATCTGCTTATTCTCTATAATCTGTTATAGAGAATAATTTCACTGAAAGATCTGCTATTTACAGAACTCATCTATTTCAAGAATTAATTAAGATAATATTAAAATTAAAGAGTTCTGATCATATATTTATTAAAGATTTAATTACAATCAGAACTGATTATATCTGATTGAGATATAATATCAAAGATTTCATGTTTTTTAATAAACTTCTTACAGAGATTAGTAAAGATTGATCATCTTTTATAAAGAATTAAATAGATGTAATAGAGAAGAATAAGAATACTAGAATACTTAAAGATGATTTTATAAAATTATGTTAAGATATTCTTCTACAATTATCAGCTATTAATAAATCTCTCATCTCTGATGAAAAGATCTCTGTAAATAATACTCAAGATTTTAATAGAAAGAATAAAAAGAATAAGAAGAAGAAGAAGATCTCTGAGAATAAGAATAAAGATTTCATCAAGTCAGATAGAAAGAATAATAATACTATTAAAATATATTATCATTGTCAGAAGATTGATCATATTCAAACAGATTACTAATTGAAATTTTCTGAAAAACACTCTACTAGTTATGATAAGAATAAGAATAAGAATGAAACAGATTCAGTGTCAGTTCATAATATTATTAAGTAAGTATTTCATACAATAGAAACAGTCTATTCTACTGATTAAACTGGCAAAGATATCTGAGTTCTGAACTCTGAATTTGATACTCATGCTACATCTTGCAAGAATCTCATATTAATAGTGCTGCAGAAGATTAATATTATATTGAAGATAGTTAACAGATTAACAGCTTCTGCAACAGCTATAGAGAAGATGAATATATCAGTTAAAAAAGTGAATCTACTGCTACAGAACATCTGCTATGTTTCTAAGCTGAAGATAAATCTTATAAGTTTTGAGAAGCTTGTATGTCAGAGTTATATATATAAGTAACTGATCTATGAGAACACTGATTCAATCTTACTAACCTTATCTAACAAGATATTGAGTTTTACTGTCAAATTAAGTGATAAGAATAACTATATTCTGAAAAAATAATCAATGACTAGAGACTTGATTCAATTTATAATATTAAATAATGAATTTGAATCTATGAAAATTCTACAGTCTGCAGAGAAAAAAGATTCTCTACTAGTATTACTTAATAAGAATATCAAGATTATTAAACATACAATGCTACAATGATATTAAAAGCTTGATCATCTCAATTCTGTAAATATTACTAAATTAGCAGCAGATTCACAACTGAGAATGAGAATTAAGAGTGACAGAGCTTTGTTATTCTGTAAGACCTGTATACAGATAAAAATGATATATTCAATATTCATATCAATGATAAGAACTGTTAAATCTATGATGAGATTCTTTATGAATCTTACAGATGATGACTGTACACTATATAATGAAATCAATCTCTCTACTCATGAAGAAGCTAATTATTGAATAAGTATTACAGATAATGTCACACACTATAGATGAATTATTCTTATAATATTAAAGAGTGAGATCACTGTACATTTAATAATCTTTATTGACAGAATTGAGGTCACTACTCAATATTGAATTGAGACTTTACACTGAAATGACAGAGATGAATTTAAAAGTGATGAATTAAAGATCTACTATCAGTGAAAAGAGATTATATATGAGATTACTACATCTGATACATCACAGTTCAACAGCTCTGCAGAACATGTCAATCATATTGTAGATAAAAAGACAAGAAGCTTACTATTCAATAGCAGACTTATAAGAGAACTTTGAAGTGAAGCTATTCAAGTTGTGATTATAATGATCAACACATTCTCAATATCAACAAAGATTTACAGATGTCAAGAAGAGATCTCATTATTTTCTTTTAAAGTTTGAACAGATGTTCAACCTTCTGCTCATTGAATATGTAGATGAGAATATAAGATGTATAAGAAGAATCTGAAGATTATCAATAAGCTCACAGATAGAACTGATAATAAGTAATAATAATTAGTTGAATATTAAGAACTGTATTAATATTGTATCTGAGACTCTGCAATCTGAAAGCTTGAGATTGTAAGAAATATTGTTTTTAATGAAGAATTAATAATAGAAGAAGCACTGATAAATGTCATTAGAGAAGCAGTCAAACTGTCAGAGAAATTGAATATTCTTAATACTATGAAGAGATGATAATACTATCTTCTAAGAAGACTTACAAAGAATAAATCTGATGTTTTAAAGATACTTACTGATGATGATATGAACAGTATGCTGGAACTGACATATCTACTAGATAATGAGACAGAACTTGTCAATGATGATATAAATAATTCTGTGAATGATGAAGATTCTGTACTCAGTGTTCTTAATAATCATCTGATCACACTAGCAGAGGTCAAAAGAAGTCATGACTGAGAATATTGACATCAGACAATGAGAAAGGAAGTGGAAACTTTTGAACAGAAGAAGATATATATTATTGTTAAAAAGACTCTGAAAATGAACATTCTTACAGATAAATGAGTGTATGATTGAAAATTAAATAATAAGAATGAAATTATCTACTTTAGAGCTTGTTAAGTAATTAGAGAATTCCTACAATAACAAGATATTTATTATAATAAGTTATATACAGCAGTGATATCTGAATCTACATTATGAAGCTTATTCACTATATCAATAGCAAGAGGTTGAAAAGTCAGATTAATTAACTATATATCTGCATTTTTGAATGAGGTATTGCCTCAGAATGAGATGATATTTATACAACTACTCACAGAGATCAAGCACAGTTATAATGAATTAGTAGGGCTTATACATCAGAGCTTATACAGAATGAAACAGACAGTAAGAACATAATATTTTCTTATAACAGAACACTTGATAAATCTAGAATTCAAGATCTCATCATATAATAGTGAATTTCTTTATTATTCAATTCATAAGTTATTCTTGACACTACATGTCAATGACTGTTGAATCACAGGGCCTGAAGAGAGTGAAATTGAGTGAATTTTGATGAAAATCAGAAAAAGATTTGAGACAAAAGAAGTTGAACAGAATAAATCTTATCTGAGAATGAAGATCGCCCCGGTGGCCGAATGATTAATGCGGCCACCCAGTAGCGCCTTGGCGTGGGAAACCAAGGCGCGTGGGTTCGAAACCCGCAGAGGATACATTAAATCCGGAACTCAAGCACCTCAGGTTTCTAATAAATACAGAGGTGTACAAATCACTCCAATGAATCACTCTATGTTCCTGGGCTGAGAAAGTTATTATTGCATGTATCTAATTGTCACTCCTTTGTATTTTCCTATGTTCTTGTTATCTTGGCGTGGTCTCAACACCTGTATTTCCTCCTGTATAATCAACACTTGACCTGTATTTAACATCACGCAAGGACTCATCATAAGCTCCGCTTGCATATGAGTATAATGAAAGAATAATAATAATAATAATAATAATGAGAATGAAGATCAAACATCAGAGAAATGATAATCTAGTAGTTATACAGAGTCATTATATTGAGAAGATTCTTGAAGATTTCAGTATGAATAAAGTGAATTCTGCAGAGATCTCTATGATGACAGATATACAACTGAAATTTTCACCTGATGAGAATGATGAATTGAATAATAACTTTATAACTACAAGATATTGTCAAGAATTGAGATCATTGCAGTATTTAATCACAAGCAGCTGATCAGATCTGATATTCACAGTTAACTATCTCTTACATTTTAACTCACATTTATACAAAG